TGTCGCGATGCGCTCCCCGCTCCCGTTCCCCGGTGTCCCTGATCGTCCTTACAAGATCCTGCTCGTGCAGGTGGGGACCCTGTCCTTCTCCCACCCCTCGTTTGGCGTGTCCGTTGTATTTATTTATTTATTAAGCGGAGGCGAGGCCTCGGCCAAAGAAGAGACAGCAGCAACGGCTACAGCGGCCGTCACACGACGCTCGGCTGGCGAATAAAAGAGCGAATCAGGGAGAACCGGAGCCCCGGGAGGGCGGGCGGGGGAACCCTGATACGGGATGCTGAGTGAGGACCTGTGTACGTGCGTGGTGTACAGTGGCGTGTCTGCTAGCTCCGAGTAGAGGGGGCGTTCTGCAGTTAAGGGGAAACCCGGTACACGGAGCCAACCCTCGGAGACCTGTGTTTACTTTACGGCCCTTTCCCTGCGAACGCGCACCCCCCTAGCTAGGGATAAGGGCTCTCTAGCCCGTAGCCCGATCCCGATCATCCGGCTCGCTGGGTGCGCTTCTCAGTTCCCCGGCCCTGGATGTGAGGCTAATGACTGCACTCCAAGTGCTCCAAGTGCCGTCAACACCCAGAGAGAGGGGAGCCACCCTGGAACGGGGGCAAGGAGACCGGGCGGAGGGATCCTGAGTGGCGAAGCCGTCGCCGAGTGGGAGTGTGGGTCGTCTCGTGTCCGTGTCGGGTGTGATCTAGCTCCAGGTAGAGAGAGGGGGCGTTCTGTCTGCTGCTAGGTAGGTAGGTAGGGGAAACCCGGAGCGCGGAGCCAACCCTCGGAGAACCGTGTTTACTTTATGGCCCCTTCCCGGCGAATGCGCACCCCCCAGGGCTAGGGCTCTCGTCTCTTGCCCGCAACCCGATACCGAGCATCTCTGCATCTCCATCTGTGTGAGGTTACCAACTGCACTCCAAGTGCTCCAAGTGGGTTCGTTTTTGTAGTTGTTCGTAATCACAAGATCACCACGTCACATCTCGCGCTCGGAACACCGACGAGCGACGTACACAGATGTACCCGTTCGAAACCTTCGCGCTTCGGCGGGTGGTGCAACGCGGTCAAGCGGCTGTTCTACCAGCCAGATGAATGAAGGACAAGGTGCGCAACAAGCTCTGCGCAACAAGCATACAAGCTCTCCAACCAAGCTGCAGCACGAGGACGAGGCGAGCTGGTCGACGGGGTCGTGGCTGTCGCTGCAGGCCCACCCAGCGCACGTCAGTCGCGCTGCAGCTCGCGGCGGCGGATGAGATTGCGACCGAGCTCACTCAGTCGGGCTCGCCGCGGCATTGGAGGACGCCACCGTCGCCTAGACTCCCTTGCGTCACTAACTACGTGCCTCCCCGCCCGTCCGTCCCCCGTCCGTGTTTGAGAGATTTGTTTGTTTTTGCGTGTTTGTAGCCTGGCGTTTGTGCCCCGTTTGTGCCGCGTCCCGTGCCCCCGATTCATTTTAATACACGTCACATCTTGATCTGCTAACATCAAACCTAAAACGTCACATCTCAAAGGTCCACACATTTTACTTCGATCGGATGTCTCGCGTCGCGCGAGTCATTTGTCAAGGTCACGCTCGATATGCTGGCCACACTGACCAAGGCGCACGTTCGCCCGCTGATCGACCTAAACGACCAGGTCAACCAGCTCACCTCGCGAGAGAGCGAGATCAACTCGACGCGAATCGTTGTGCAGGGCGACCAAAGCCACGGCAAGTCGTCGCTCCTCGAGGCGCTGAGCGGCGTTGACCTGCCCCGCGGCGACGACATCAAAACGCGTGTACCACTGATCATGCAGCTTCGCAGCTGCGAGGATGCCGACCAGGAGCATGCTTTCATTTCACGCAAGGGTGCGGAGCCGGAACGGATCGCACTCTCAGAGGTGGCCGCCAAGGTGGACGAGTTCACAGAGGCAATTGCCGGCGGCTCCAAGGGCGTCAAGGATGAGCCGATCGAGCTCAAGGTCTTTCGCCGCGACCAGGACGATCTCACGCTCATTGATCTTCCGGGCATCACGCGGGTGGGGCGCGAGGGTCAAGGTGACGGCAAGCAGCTCGAGGCGCTCATCCTTGGAATGTGCAAGCGCTACAGCGCGCCACCCGAGTCGGTAATCCTCAACGTCGTCTCCGCCATGGTGGACTTCTCGACCAGCGCTAGCCTGCAGCTCTCGCAAGAGCTCGACCCTGAGGGCCGGCGCACGCTGCTCTGTGTCACCAAGAGTGAGCATGGCCTCTCTCTCAGTCATCCTCCCCCCTGTGCCTCCCCTCCACCCTCCCCGGGAGCGCTTGCGGCCTTAACCGCCCTCTGTCGCCGCTCTGCCCCTTCGCAGTTGATCAGCACAAGGAACCCGGCCTGGCCAAGAAGATCGACGTCTCCATTGAGTCGATGTGCATCCGGCCGGAGCATGTCTTCGTCGTGCGCAACCGCAAGCAGGAGGAGAACGACGCACACCTGCCTCTGTCGCGCGCACGAGAGCTCGAGACTGAATGCATCTGCTCCAATCTGGAGCTTGAGCGAGGCGCCGAAGCCACCGGCTACGGCCTGGGCGTGAGTGCACTCTCAGAGCAACTCGTGCGCATTCAGCTCGAGCGCATCATTGAGACACTTCCGGCAACCGCAAAGGCAATCCGAGCTCGGCTGTCGCAGCTAGAGCAGCGCGTCGCTCAGATCGGCCCGCCGCTGGAGGGCGAGCTTGCGTGCAGGCTGCTCGCCGCCAAGCTGGTCGACGAGATCCGAGAGCAGCTCGAAAAGGAGCGCGAGGGCAGGGTGTCACGCGCCGCTGGGCTGCAAACTGCCGAGGGCGAGGTCTTTGATATCAAACTCGAGGTGGACGATTGGGTGGCGTGCTGTAGCAGCAATAAGGCGAAGGGGTCCTTCGTCGCAAGCGAGCCGTTTGAGCTGCCAGGCGGGATTTTCTGCACCCTGCATATCTACCCCAATGGCTGCGAGACGTCCACCAGCGGCTTCTGCGGCGCGGTCCTCATGTGCGACATGCCCGAGAAGACGAAGGTTGGTCTTGAGTTCTCGCTTGCGGTCTACCAGGGTGGCACGGTGAAGAAGAGGCTGGAATGCATCCACGATTTCAGCCAACCCGGCCAGGGCTGGGGATTCGAAAACTTCATTACAAGCGCCCAATACAAAGGCGCTCTTTCCTTCTATGCCTCGGTGTACGTGTCCTCCGTAGACGTGGACGATAAGCGAACGCTGTTCTGCGCCGCGCTCAACAAGCTCGATGAGCAACTTCGCGACAACATCGACAAGGCCCACCCCGCCCGCATGTTCTTTTCAAAGGAGTTCGGGCGCAAGCTGGAGATGGCGGCTAATTCACGCCGCGGCTCGTGCGGCATGCCAGACTCGATCAACCAAGAGGTGCCGTTGGGCGTGCTGCACGACCTGCGCAAAAAGCTTCCGTCGATCGTCGAGCAGCACGTGACCGTCGCATCGACGGTGGCGAGCACTAAGCTGCAGTCCATCATTGACGCGGCAGTCGAGTTCAAGGCGCACCCGAGGCTCGTCCGGCTGATGCAAACGACGGCTGCGGGATTGGTCGAACAGCTGACGATCTCGGCCAGGCGCGAGTCAGAGCGCTTGATGCAGTACGAGGACGCCGAGGCGCACACGAGCAACCACTACTACATGGACATTGTGCAGCAGCTGCGGAAGGACATCCTGGCGGACAATGAGGCTGAGACCGTGTGGAGCAAGAAGCCCGCCTTTCTGGACGGCCTCGACTTTTCGAGCCTCAAGACGAAGTCCAACGCCGAGCAGGAGATCGTCGACCTGCAAATCAAGACGTTTGCCTACTGGAAAGTGATGAAGAAGCGGCTTGTCGACTACCTGCAGCTGGTAACACGCTACAACCTGTCGGCTCAGCTCATCGAGCAGCTCAAGCCTGCGCTCATGCGCGCCATTGCCGGTGAGGGCGACCTCGCGACTCTGATGGCGCCAGACGAGTCGCTAGCCCGCGAGCGCAGCTCGCTCTCCAAACGCATTGCCGATCTCAAGAAGGCGGACGCCCTCATCGAGCAAGCGGGGAACGACCGCATGTCCATGCAGTCTGATCTCGCCGAGCCAGAAGGGAAGCGCATGAAGGCCTCAAGTTGAGCTCACCTCGGTGCGCACCGATTTTGCTTTGTTCGTTCAACGAGAGGAAATCTAGAGTCCCCGCGCGCTGCGCGGGCTCCCTGTAGGGGGCGTCGCCCTTGTCACGACTGTAGTGTACTTGGTAGGGGAAGAAAGCGCGGGGCAGCTTAGCCTCCTTAGCGAAAGGAGTGTAAGTACGCGTGATTGATTAGTGTTGCAAGAACTAAGACACGCCGCGCCGGACTTCCAAGCGTGCGGCCGCGCGGGCGGGCTCGTCGGCTCGATCGAACGCGCTCTCATGAATGCGCTCAGGCCTCAGCCTTCAATGTATGTACCTTAGCACGCGAATTCTGCGTGCCTCGCTGCGCCACTGGCTCAGTTGAATGAGGCAGCAGCAGCAGGCTGCTGCCACACCAGTTCTTACTCGAGTGAGAATGGCCAACACACCACTCTGTGCTGTGGGGGCTCACTCACATCAGAGGCTGCTGACTGCGGCCGAGGGCGAGCGCCTCCTCGCGAATCACCGGGTAGAAGCGCTCGAGCAGCGCCGACGCCTCGGCCACTCGCGCGCACCACCACGCGTCGGCCGGCTCGTGGAACGGATGCGTGGAGAGCCCCGGGTACAGCCACGCCTCCAGCTCGTGCCATCGGGTCAGCGGCGGCGGCGGCTTCTTCGAGCGCTTCGCCACGATGCGGCCGTGCACGCGCGCCCACTCCGGGCCTTGCATCCACACCACAAGGCGGCGCGGGGCGGCGTCGGCGCGAGCGAGGAGCGACGCAATTCACACCGACTTTTTAAACAGGTCGTCGTTCGTTCGTGTCACGATCGGAAAGGGACTCGCGCAGTACGTCATGCTCGGAATGCTGTCGGCATTCCTTGCAGGCAGCTTATTCCATGGGCGCCCGCTGCTGCCAGCGCCACACCGAGGGCCATTGATGTGCTCCTTCTCAGACGAGCTGGAGGAGCTGAACGCCTGCCGCTGCCAGGCGACGCTGCCTGGCGAACTTTATGCGTTTCTCAAAGGGTGGCTGAGGTGGGGTAGCGAGCCGTCACCAGACATATCGTTTGACTATGACCACGAAGTCCGAAGCAGGGTTCGTGCAGGGATTAGTATCGCCCATCGGTTCTCCCGCGTGGGCGCCGCCGGCAGCTGCCTTCCGTGGGAGCGAGCACCGAGCGTTGTCGCAGCTCTGCAAGAGGAGCTGGGACTGGGAGACGAGGCAATCTTGAGCCATGTCGTGGAATGCCCATTCATCCTATCTCTCAGTTGGGAGCTCCACATGGCGCCGTCGCTGGTCCTTCTTCAGACATGGGTGCCTGAGTGCAACGACGATGCCGCCACTACCCGTGCTTGGGTCTGCAGCCGAGGCTTCTCGTTGACGGACAGCAGCTCGGTAGAGGAAATCCCTCGACGCTTATCGACGCGGCTGCTTGCGCTTGCTGTGGTGTCGAGTGCCGGCGTGGCTCCGTCGGCCGAGGAAATCAGTCGGCTGATCGATGAATTTGGTGTGACGGAGCCTGACCCGATGATCGCAGCCTACTGGCGTCTCTCCGAGGAGGAGAAGGCGCTGCAGCGGCACCTAAGATTGAACTTTGACCAAATGATGGTGATGCGCAGGCTCTCCTCGCCGACTGGCCTCGCACATTACTTCACACCCTCCATGGAGCGTGCCACCATCGCCTCGCTAGAGGCGCTGCGATCTGACTTGGAGCTCGGCACGGCCGAGTTCAGCTTCTTTGTGGTGCGCATGCCGGCGCTCGTGGAAGCGCATCTGGAGAGAGATGAGCGGAGCTGGCTTTTCCACCGGGTTCAAAGGTTGGGGTTCACATATGTGGGAGGAAGGGGAGGACAGGTATACTACGAGTACTTCGGCAACCATGCTCAGTTGGGCAAGTTGGTGGTTGCTGTCGCCGATGTGCTCGCGCGTGGGGTTGGTATTTGGAGTGATATCCTCTACCGAGAGGATCACTTCCTACCAAGATATTCTCGCTTCAACGAGAGGCAAGATAGCTGCCTCGACGCTGGAGACGGGCACCTCAACCCAACGGAAGCTGATCTAGCTCGATACACGACCACGATGGGCCAGATGATTAGCGTGTCGTCGGGTGACAAGCTTGTGCCACATCTCGATGACCTGTTTGACGATGCCCTGTCTCGTTACGACCACGGTATGCTTGTACCTCACGCCTCGGGCTATAGGCCCATCTTTGATGGTTCCTTGTCCCCATTTGAAGCGGCCTATTTCGCAACGTCTGACCTTGCACAATCGGTCTTCACTGCGCACCGTCGGCGAAACGCGGGGGAAGTTCGACCTCTCGTCATGATCGACCTCGAGAACGTCGGCAACGCAGTCCAGCTGTTGCCCCAGCTACACGCGATGGACGGCATCGAGGTGCGGGCGTATGTGGCAGACACCCACCCATTGAGGGCCAAGGCAACACATCGGGTACCTGTGGGCTTATCGAAGCGCAGCAAGAAGCTTTTCGATGCGGTGGACATTCGCATGGTATTTGATGCTGGACAATACGCAAATATGAACCCCGACGCCAAGACAAATATCTTAGTGGTCTCGAAGGACAACTTTGCCAACACAACAGCTGTTGTAGTCAATCCTGCGGACGCAACTGTCCATGCAACTGACTTGATCCGTAAGTTGCCACGATTTTGGGCTCAACAACTTGGAGTTCACAAGCTCATCGACCTACAGTAAGGGCTAAGGGGTCGGACGAGGGACGTACCTGCAGTGGAAACGGTACTATCGGTGGCTCACTACTCGCCTGAGCCATCTTCGCCGTACGTGCTGTATGTGTGCCAGTCAGTCCGCTTTTTTGGAGCTGGTCCCGCGCCCATCCGCACAATTTACTGTGACTGCTCCGCGGTCTGGTGGTGTGGGTCCGATGGTGGGTCCGGGTGGTGCGTCCGGTGGCGGCTGGCGGGTCCGGTGGCGGGTGCCGCTATACATAGCGGCGCGCGAAGCGAAATTTTTCGTTACGTGTGGGAAAGAAACAATTTTTGTGTGCTGCGCCTCAGATTTTAGCGCCTTGGCGTCCTCGCGCACCAGATTTTAGCACCCCGCCAACCGTGCAGGCTAAAATGTTAAAGTCCGTGAGCTGGTACCCCCTCACTTCACCGACTAAAAAACAGAAGATTTAACTATGGCATTTTTACTTCTTTGATGTCTACCAAAAATACTGCTTCGAAAATTTCAACCAACCAACCTGCAGGCAGGTAGGTAGGTACATTCTGTAGAAAAATCAAGCCCTTTGGTCTCTTCTTTCGACCGAAGTTGGCGCCAACCACTTCTTGTGATGCTCCACAACCATGCAGACATTTTGATAAGTTGCCCCGACGGCATTGACTGCTGTATTGCGACCGGCAGCTCGATAACCAACGAGGGGAGGGGGATCATCGAGAACCAACAACCTCATATTTGCGTCGTATTCGAATCCTCTCCTATGTCCTTCCAAGTACCAGCGAATGACGTCCAGCGCATTACCATTCGCTTGATGCGCCCGGGTTCTTTCATTCTTGTCGAAATTCGAGAATAATCTTACATTATCATAGCCGAAATACCTTTTGTTTTTGTCCTCACATATCTTCTGGATGCCATTCACGCACTTGACCCTGTCATAATCCTCTGGAAATACTGGATAGAACACAACCCCTGCCATATCGGAGCCGCGCAAACGGGCTCTCTCGTCCGCTGTAAAAGAGCCGCTGCCTCATACTGGGCGGAGATGTCTGTGGCGCTATCGCAGGTGCCACGGAAGGAGCTGGTGGCGGTCCCGAACCCAACGCGGGATCAGGTGCGCGCGGCTCACCGGCTGCGCTTTGCCGACGGCCGCGGGTGACGCTCCCCCTCCCGCAAACCTCGCCGCGCTCGACTTCGAGGTATGGGTGTGGAGGTGGGCTGTCTCGAGCTGTCGACGACAGCGCTTCCGCTTGCCTGATGCGTGAGTCCAGCCACGGTGTGCGTCCGAATTTATGCGGCGATGTGTCCGCGAGATGTGTACGATTACATAGCTGGCTATTCAATTTAAATCAATTTTTCAGAGAAATCTTAAAACGGTGACCACCCAACCACCACAGTCGGTGTGTACGACAGTGCACTACGCGGACGGAGCTACGCACAATGTGCGCTCGCGCAAGGGCATTGGATGAGCCCTACTGATGGACCTCGTTGCCGAGCCCGGCTGCGCGATTCGAAAATTCGAAAATTCTTCTTCTTCAGTGATTAGCTGGGACATCCCAACCCTGGAAGCAAAAACCCCGTAACGATTTTGCCGGGAAATGGGTGCGCGGTCCGCCTCGCCCCGCGCTCGAACTCACGGGTACGCCGATGTGCCGTTGCGACTGCTGCACTCGCTGCATACGCTTCACCAGCCGCTCGAGCGGGAGGGCTCCAGCTGCGCCTCGCTGTTGCCTCAGTCGCCGACGCCGCGGGAATCGCCGGTGCCGCTCGTGTCCCTGTATGAGACCAGGCACAAGCAGTGCAGCCGCCCCACGACACCACGCCCGCTGACGGCCGACAGCTCGGCGTGGGACGTTGCCGGTCGCGCCCGAACACCGCCGACTCCGGACACCCCTCGTGCCGTCAACCGGCTACGGGCAGAGTGCGAACGGCTCGCACTCGACCTGAGAGAGATCCGCGCCAGGCACGCGAGGGAGTCGATGCGGATGCAGCAGCTGATGAAACGGAAGCTGGCGGAGAGTGATGTGAACGTGCGCTGCCTCGCCCACGAGTTTGGGCGCAGCGAACGCGAGGCGACTCGCGAACGGTCCCACCACGAGCGCGTGCGCGACGCCGTCAACTCAGAGTTAAGAGTGGCAAAGGGGCAGCTGGCGCAGGCTGCGGAGGTGCAGCGCGAAGCTCTGTCCGAGAGCGAGGGCGAGTGCGCGGCGCAGAGGGCGACAATAGCGGCCCAAAAGAGAGAGATCCGCGCGCTGAGCCTAAAGCTCCAGAGGAGCGAGGCCATGCGGGAGGCGCAAGCCGCGGCGCTGCAAGAGGCGGTGGCGTCGTCGGCCGGTTGGAGGGACGCGGAGAAGGAGTGGGCGGCGAGGCTGGCGACGGCAGAGACAGAAGCGGCGGCAAGGATTGGGATGCTAAAGGCGGAGCTCGGCGCCGCGTGCGAGCGCGAGGGCGCGCTGCATGTCGCGTGCCGCACGCTCGCGGCGGACGTGCACGAGGCGCGGGAGAGCTCGTTGCGACTTTGGAGCGGCCAGGTCGCGGCGTCGGACCTCGGCCATGTCGCATCTGTAGGTGGAGGAGTTTTTTGCGCGCGGGGAGCAGCGTTTCCGGCGGCAGCTCGAGAAGATGCGACGCACTTCCCTCGGCCGGCAGGTGGCAGTGCTGCCGAACCGGAAAGAGGAGACAACCGTGAGGCTGCAGCGGCGGGAGCGGGAGGCGTTTGGCAAGGGGCGGAGGGGGTGGTCCTACACAGAGCCGCGGGGCTCGAGGTGCGAGATTGGTGAGGCACAGCTGCATCACATGCGCTCTTTGAGGTCGGACCTAGCTCGTACACCACGGTAAATAATAAATAAATAAAACGGACACCTCTCTACTATGAGATGGGTAAAAAGGAACAGGTCCCCGCCCTTGCGATCTTTGTGCAGGGTTCTTTGTTTACACCACGGTGAGAGCAGCGTTATTTTGAAATTCTTTCCAGACCTCTGTGAGCTGTGTTTGAAATAAATAAATAAATAAAACGGACCTACTAGGAGATGTCGCCACGCGACCACGCGATGATTGATTGTCTCGCGGAGCGCATGGAGAGGTACGGTTGGCACTCCGTCAGCATCAACCCGGTGCCGCTTGGGTATCAGTACATCATCCAGGCCAAGTCTGAGAAGAGGCGGGAGGATGAGGCCAGGCAGCAGGCCGCGCAGGACGCTGCGCAGCCTCAGCCTACCGCCACTTTCGCCGCACCGCCCGTGGCACCGCCTGCCGCCGCTGCCGCTCCGGCCGCAGCATCGCAGGCACACTCGCAGCACCAACAGGCGCAGCAACCCCGGCCCAACGAGTCGCCCGAGGGGTGGACGAGGGTCGGGAAGGGCGGCAAGCCGGACAGGTTCACCATGAAGAACTTCGGCCGCAACCCGCCAAAGTCGGGCAAGCGGAAGCAGGAACACCGCAAGCCCGCACCCAAGGGAGGTGGACCCCCACCCCCTTCTCCCAAGGTGGTGGACAAGAACAGGCTGAGCGCATTGGGCGCTGGCCCTTCTGGCACCAGCGGGAGCCACGAGCGCGCACCGCCGCGCTCTCCCTCCCCCACCTCGCCGCCTGCCAAATCGCCGCGGCCGTCTGCGCCTGCTTCCGGGTATGACTCCGAGCTCGAATTTTCCGACGCTGAGGCGCGGGATAGGGTTGCAGGGGTTGTGCACGACGCAGTGCAGCAGGCTGTGATGCAATATGGCTATGACGACGAGCTCTACCAGGCATGGAGGGACGGCAAGATAGGCGAAAAGGACTTGCCGGAGGAGGTGATGGCTATGACTTTGGACCTTTGCGAGAGGTGGCGAGCGGAGCAAGCGCGGTGTAGGCGCGCCCACGCGGCGCAGCGGCTCTCCCGCGACCATAGCCCCTCCCGCAGCCGCAGCCGTAGCCGCAGCCCCAACTCTTGCTGCTCTTCTAGTGTCGGGTAGTGACCAGGGGGTGAGGGGACGGATTGAAGATCCCTCACACCAAGATCGTGCAGGGCGGGGACACATGTCCCTAAATCCCATCTCGTCTCAGAGTTTGACCGTTTTTATTTATTTATTTATTTATAGTGCAACTGTTAGGCCCAAAGTTAACGTTTGACAGCTCTAAGAGTTTGTCGTGCGGGCGGTTGTCTGTTGGGCGGCTCTCTGCGCTCACGTGACCGGACCCGGTGAGCGCACCCGCGTTTGCGACCACGGGGACCCGATTTTCGTTTACCAGATGTCGTTTACACGATGAGATGTTGATGTACGTCAGTCGATCCGAAATGCGAAAATGTTATACAGAAGGATATATACACATTGTGCCAAAATGGTTTTGGTTAAATGCACCGTAGATCACTGACTCTGTAGGTAGTACTGTGTGCTGCGCCGTGCGCGACCTCGGAACACGCAACCGACACATACGTACAAAAGTGTCTCACTCTGCGAACCCCCCGCGAACCGTCAACCGACACCGCGCGCCCACGTCAGAGCACTCAGCGCGAGTTTTCTCGGGCAGAACTGGCGCCTGGCCTCGCGCCCCATGCAGCCGCGGACACGGCGTAATTCGCGCTTTGCCAAGCGCACCTCAGTACAGGGTGTATCCGCGTTCGAGCGCGTCCAGGACGCCTTCGAGCGAGAGCCCGCCGATGTGCTCTGCGGGGTAGTTGCAGACTCTGGCTTGCTGCAGCTTCGACGAGTGCTTGGGCTCGAATCGATGCTCGTCGGCGACACAGCCGCTGGGCTCGAGCTTCGGGCAAGCCATGCACAGCTCCTCGATCGTGTCCTTTTGCAGATCGGGGCCGTGCTCGTCCTTGCAGTGCTTCAGCCGCACGAGAGCGAGGGCGGGCAGCTCGCAGCCCGCAAAGTCGCTCGGCGCCACGA